GGGGGGGGGGTGGCGACAAGACTCTATAGGAACGGGAACCCTGAGAGACCTTCACAGAGGATCAGGGCCTTGGGGGTAGCACCAAGGAGGGTCTTGTTCAGAGGCCTGCTTTGTGGGAAGGCGGAAAAGGCTCTCGAGGGCCCCAGCAGCTGCAATTCTTCTCAGTGAATCATATTTTACCTTCAATGCTTCCCCAAAGAAAGTGAACAGTGGAAGAGCCCGGACAGCAAGCACCCCATCCCCATGCACCACTTTGAGCACTTCAAGTGCTCTCAGGCCCGCTGTCTCGCATGAACCTCCACATAACCCCATTTCACAGACAGGAACACTGAGGCCCTATGAGGTCACATGGGGGTTAGCAGTGGTGCGGGGCTAGAACCCAGGGAGCAGATGCATCTCAGGCCTGGGCATCGGGCACAAAGCCCAGTTCCTCGTCCGGGAGGGAGTCCCCAGGGCTGTCCGGCAGCCCATAGTACAAGTCTTCCTCTTCCCGCTCTGACTGCTCTGAACCTGGGTCTGAAGCCTTCTCTTCCTCCTCTTTCGTCCCCCGGGATGGCTGCCAGCAGCTGGACAGGGCAGTGTCCTGCCGCTGGCCCCCTGAAGACGCACCCTCTGCCGTGGGGGCGTCGATCAGGGCAAAGTCATGGAAGCGGTCCAGCCGGCACTTGCAGGCCCGGAGCTCCCGAGGCGGGCAGCGAGGCTCCTCCCCCTCTGGTGGAGAGGGGTTGGGGCTGCTGCCCTCATCGGAGGCCACGTCCAGGTCATCTTGGAAGGAAGCCAAGGGTACAGGTCCCTGGGGACAGGCCTGGAGGCTGCAGGAACAAAGGCCCAGAGAGCCAGAGTTGCTCTGAGTCAGACTGCCCAGGTCCAAATTTCAGCCACCAGCTGCAAAGCCCAGGGGAGGTGAGTTCACCTGTCTGGGCCTCAGTTTCCTCCCCTACAAAGTGGGGGAACATAATCATACTCACTCCTACGGTTGTCTCCGAGGATTACAGCACATAGCGTGTGCCAAGCCCTTTGCACAATGCCTTGCACACAGTAGGTGCTCAAGCAATGGGCATTATGTTATGATCCAAACCAGGTTCTTCCCCTGCCTCTCTGGCCACTCAGGGGTCTCCTGTGGGCCCTCAGCCCCCACCACACAAGGTGTCACTTCTGCTCCCTCGTCCGCTTCCCCCATCGGACTGGGAGCTCCTGCAGGGTGGGGGCCATTGAGGTCTGGCAGGGAGTAGGTGCCCAGCTATGTTGGTGGGATGAGTGAATAAATGGATGAATGAGAAACCTAGTTCATAACCAGCCAGGGACAGGGTGGGCGCGAGTGACCTGCCCGACGTCACAGAGCACATCAGCGACAGAGTCCAGATTTGAACTCACTGTCCCAGTTCTCACAACAGCCCTCTGAGGCAGGAGTGTTATTCGCACATGGGAAAACTGAGGCTCAGGAGGATAAGAAACTTGCCAAGGCTACACAGCAGAGGAGCTGGGATTCGAACCCAGGCCTGGCCGACTAAGCCAGACTCATGCGTCTGCTCTACCTGCTGCCTCTCAGGGCGTCCCCACCCCCGTGCCCTCACTACTCCCAAATGTTCCCAGCTGGCCCTGAGTGGCCCACAGCCCCACCTGCTTCATGCAGGAACTGGACAGCACCCCCACCCCTGCACTCTGAGCACTCACCCAGGCCTGCTCGGAGTCAGGTTGCTTTCTCCCTCGTCCTCATCTGAGGCCCTGTGGATGACCACTGCAGCCTCCATCCAGCCCTGAGCATCATGGGGGCCACCTTCTCCTCCATCACTGGCTCCCAGCTGCAGCTGTCCCAGCTGGGGGGCCAGCAGCGGGCGAGGGTCCTCACGGTAGCCCATGACCTTCATCTGGATGTGGCTGAAGTCAGGCAGACTCTGGTCATAGGCGGCTTCCTCCCACAGCCTGACATATGGGGGCTGCGGGCTGGGCAGGGCATGGCAGAGAGCAGAGAAAAACAGACAGGTGAGACCACCCAGCAGACATCACAGGAGGAGACATCGGTGTTGTCCCCCCACCCCCTGCCCTCCACCCTCCTGCTCTGGACATCTGGTCTCCCCTGACCTCAAGACTTTGGGGGATGTAACTGTACCCAGTTCGTGGATGGGGAAACTGAGGCCCAACAAAGAGTGGCAGAGCTTAGACTCTTAGACCAGTCACTGCTCCTCTCACTCCACGTCTCCAAAGTTAACCCCAGGAGTCCACTTGTGAAATGCAGGCCAGTTCGCATTGCCTGAGAGCGTGCTGTGTTACAGATGGTGAGCTAAAAGCCCACGCCTACCATCGCATTCATTCTGCACCATGAAGCAGAGTGGTCGTGCCCGGGGTTTGGATGAGGACACAGCAGCAACATCCCAGTTATTGAATGCTCCTTGCCTGCTAGGCTGCGTCAGGCGCCACATCAGATCCGCACTATAACTGGGAGACTTCGGCTGGCTTGCCCTGAGTGCCTCAAACACCAGGTGGCAGTGCTGGGCTCCAGCCGTCCCCTTCTCTATGCTCTCTATAGCCTCTCTGGGAAGTGAGGTGCAGGGACTAGACCCCTTGCCCAAGATCACACAGAAGGAGCCCGGAGCTCAGCTCCGTGCAGTCCTATGCCCACCCAGGGGCTAGCCACCTCATTCCCCCGGGGACATGTGGTCACTCTGTGTGCCAGGAACAGAAAATATCATCACTGCCTCCTTCCCCAAGCAAAGTAGAGAATTCCAGAGCCCTGGCCACAGACCCTGGACCTGCAGCCCGGCCTTCTGAGCAGTCACAGCCTCCAGGGGTGGCGAGGGCAGCTGGTCCCACTCCCATCCAGGGCTGGAGTGCTTGCTCCTGTGTCCTGATGAGCCAGGCCTGGTACCTCCAGGGAGGCAGGTCTGGTCTGGTCCATCACTGACTCCCTGTGAGGTTTGAGGCCCGTGATTATACTTCTTTTTTTGTTGGTTTGCTTGTTTGTTTTAGAGAGGGAGCAAGAGAGAGATGGGGAGGGGCAGAGGGAGAGGGAGAGAGAGAGAGAGAGAATCCCAAGCAGGCTCCAAGCCCAGCGTGGAGCTGGATGTGGGACTAGATCTCACGACCCTGAGATCGTGACCTGAGCCAAAATCAAGAGTCAGACGCTTAACTGACTGAGCCACCCAGGTGCCCTGAGATTATATTTCTTGAGCCTCAGTTTCCTCCTCGGTGTAAAGGGCCCGACATCCCCATTTCACAGGGCACCTATGAGGACTGAAGGAAGTAATGAGGCAAACTGCCTGCTTGGATCTCAGGCTGATAGGAAGCACGTCTTACTAACGGTGACGCTGTTCTTAGTGCTTTGCTTATATTAACTCCCTCAGCCCCGCCGAAGCCCTAGGAGAAAGGTGTGATCAGTGCCCCTATTTTATAGGTGGGGCAAAGAGAGGTGAGTTGCGTTCCCCGAATCCCACAGCCTGTAAGTGGAGAGCCGCAGGGCTGTGCTTGGCCATCGACATGCCCCCCTGTTTGCCAGAGGAGCCGTCACAGCTGTTTGGGATCTGGGGCCACACCTGGTTTTGCTTTTGGTCGGCCACGAACTCGCTCTAAGACAGGACGAAGTCCCTGAGCCTCAGTTCCCTCATCTTTAAAATGGGGATAATAATGCCTACCTCGTAGAATTGAGAGTTCAAAACAATCCTGATTTCCAATAGCATGCTCTCAGTAAGTGAGGAGGCAAGGCAGAGAGCTGGAGCCAGCGGAGGAGACCCCCCCCCACCCATCCCACCCGACTCCATCACCCTCCGCTGGAAGAGGAGACTGGCCTGAGGGGCTCTCCCTGCTCCACCCCCGCCCTGGAGAGCCTGGCCCTACCTCTTCATCTCAGCAGCAAGCCCATTCTCCAGCAGGCCCAGCGCCTTTGGGGCCAGGATGCCTTGGAAGTCAGAGTCAGCAGGTATGAAGGTGATCTACAGGGCAAAGGAAAGAAGGCTTCTTTGTGTGGCTCCCACCCATCCTGACCCGGAGGGCCTCCCTGTGTGACAGCAGAGGGGTCTGCTCAGGGCCCAGCACCAGTGGGTGGATGCACCTCTGGGCTCTTGCTCCCACCTGGCTCTTCATTCACCCAAAAGACATTTCTTAAGAGCACCAGCTGTGTGCAAGGCAGTCTCCCAGGCACCAGAGGGCAGCAATGAGCAAACAAAACAAACATCCCTGCCCCCGAGGAGGTGGTGGTATCTTGTCATTTCCCAGGGTCCTGGTCCAGTGCCCAGAATGTGCCTGGCACGGAGTAGGGGCTTCATCCATATCTGGTGAGTGAGTGTCATGTATTTCTTGGCACAGAGGCTGTGGTGGGGGACAGGGAGGTGAACGGCTGAAATTGCACCCACCAGTCCCTGTACTGGAACTTTCAGGGATCAGGGGGTCTCTGCAACTGCAGCACATGGGGCGGAGACCGGGTGGCAGAGGGGAGGCAGGTCATAAAGGAGGCCGTGGGATGAGACAGAAGGAGCCCTGCCCTTGGGGTCCGGGAGACTAGGGAGGATTCCTTCCTTGGGCAGGTCATCTCTCCTCTCGGAGCCTCTATGTGCCTCTCTGTAAAAAGGGCTAGCCTCAAAGAGATATTTGCGGCATTGTTCATAACAGCCAAAAAGTGGAAACAACCCAAGTGTCCAACAACAGCTGAATAGATAAACAAAATGTGGTACATACATGCAATGGACCATTATTTGGCCTTAGAAAGGAGGGCAGCTGTGACACATGCCACGACATGAATGAGCCTTGAAGAAATAAGCTAATAACAAAAAGACAAATTCTGTAGGAGTCCACTTACATGAGGTACCCACAATAGTCAAATTCATACAGAGAGTAGAATGGTGGTTGCCACAGATTGGAGGGAGGGGGGTGGGGAGTTATTCTTTAATGGGTATACAGTTTCAGCTTGGCAAGATGGAAAGACTTCTGGAGATCGGTTGCGCAACAGGGTGCATTTAATTAACACTACTGAGCTGTAGGGGCACCGCGCTGGCTCAGCTGGTGGAGCATGTGACTCCTGATCTGGGAGTTGTGGGTTTGAGCCTCACATTAGGTGTAGAGGTTACTAAAAAATAAAATATATATATATATTTTAAAAAACACTACTGAACTGTACACTTAAAAATGCTAAGACAGTAAATTTTATGTTATGGGTATTTTACCACAATTTTTTTAAATGATGCCAGTGATACCTGTCTCCTGGGGTCGTTGTGAGGATCCCACGAGATACTGTATAAGGAAGCCCCCAGCACAATGCTGGGCACATAGTAGCTACTCAGTAAACCATAGTTCGATGTTACTGAAGATGAAGTTATCTGACCTGAGTCTTGCTCTCCTCAACTGAAAATTTGTTCAACAAATACTTGACAAGACCCCACTGTGTTATACCAGAGTCAAAAATAGCAGCCCCTTTTATCTCTTCCTACAGAGCATGATGAGTAAAAGACACTTGTCTGCACCAGAAAAGCTCCATCCTCCTGGGAGGAAGGGAATGATGGATGGAGGGGCTCTTAGAACTCCTATGAAGAGTAAGCTTCTCCAAAATGTCTAGAAATAAGGCAGGGATCTTGGTATCTTCCACACCCAGCACGGATACCCTGCACTTGCCAGCTGGCTCTATACTTCTTAGAAGCTGCTCCTTCCTCTGCCTCATTACCTCATGGCCCAGTCGTCACCTTCTCCCCTTTCTCCTCCTCACCATCATCATCATTATCACTATGCCCACGACCACCACCACCACCACCATCACTGTTATCACCATGACTACAACCGTCACCATCACCATCACCACCGCCACCATCATCTCCATCAACATTATCATCATATCGTCATCATCATCACCATCATCAACACCACCACCACCATCATCATCTCCGTCAACACTATCATCATATCATCACTATCACCATCATCGGCTCCATCACCATGACTACAACCGTCACCATCACCACCACCGCCGCCACCATCATCTCCATCAACATTATCATCATATCGTCATCATCATCACCATCATCAACACCACTACCAGTATCTTCACTTCCATCATCATCATCATATCATCACCATCACCATCCCCATCATCATCTCCATCAACATCATTATGTCATCATCACCATCACCACCATCACCACTATCATCATCGCTATCACCATCATCATCACCAAATACATCATCAGCATTATCACCACAGTGAAAAGCCTGAGGGAGAAGGAAAGGCTGGAGCATGTTAGAACACAAGTCCTTTTAAGAGAGGGGAACAGAGTTGAAACCGGTGAGGGGATACCAGACTATGAAGACCCCGAACATCAGACTAAGGCGTTCAGTCTTTATCCAGAAGCAGTGGGAGCCCTGGAGGAGTTCTCAGGAGGAGAGTACCCAGACAAATTTGTGTTTAGTCAGAGCTCCAAGCAGTCCCCAAAGGGAGGGAGCAGAGGGAGTGAGGGATACCCATGGAGAAGACAGATCCATCAACCGTCAATCAGGGGCCTGGTACTGGATTCCAGTGGAGTAGGCAGGAGAGGGGACTAGGGGAATTGTGGGTAGAAACAGAAGCCAGACAGGGAGAGGCCCTGCTTTCTCTGCCAACCCTTCCCTTCTCCCAGCAACCTTGCCCCATCTCAGCCAATGGACACAGCATCCCTGCCTGGCCCATCTTCTGGCTTTGCCCCAATTCCTCCTCCTCTCTCATGCCTGAGGTCCAGCTGATCACCACATCTGACCAAGTCTCCTTCAGAAATTCAATGAGATAAGTTCAGCAGAAGCTCAGTCCTATATCTAGCCACAGCAGGGACTGAACATATGATGAATGAGCAATGTCTTCTTGGTTCCTGCAGCCTTGGGTTCAAATGCTGCCTCGGTCCAGGGGCCCATCATCTCTCACCTGGCCCCGTGAAGGAGCCTCCTCCTCTGGCCTGGTTGCCCCTGAACCTTCCTCTTCTCAGATGTCAGCCTGATAACTTTCCTGAACTGCAAAGCTAATCATGTCCCTCTCTTGTCTCATCAACTGAAGGGTAAGGTCCATATTCTTTAGCACGGCATCCCAGGCCCTGCGGAGCTGAGCCCACTCTGTCTCCACCTTCCTTCCAGCCCACACGTGCAGCAGCCGTGTTGACCCACTCTCCTTGCTTTTACCTCCTTCTTTTGATCGTGCTGTTCCTTCTTCTTAGAAAGTCTTTCCCCATCTTCTTTGCTTGGCAAACTTCTACTTAGCCTACAAAGGCCAGCTCATCTTCTCCGCGAAGCCTACTCCCTCCCCATCAGGCAGAACATTGTCTCCCCGACAAGATTCCCAGCTCCTCAAAGACAGGGACAGCTCAATTCATGTTATTCTTATATCTTAATTGGCTGATTCCATTCCCTTATAGTTATATTTCTTTCAATCCAGAAAATTCCCATTTAGTGGGCCTTGTGGGGGGGAGGATGGGCACCAGCACCTGCTGAGGGCTCCAATGGGCCAGGCACTGAGACGATGTGGGAGACAAGGCCCCTTGCTCCAGCACACGGCACGGGTCCACAACATGCTTTCCTTCCTTGCTTGCGTCTCTGAGACACACACCCACACAGACCCACACCAGTGCTCACACCCCTGCACACACATACGGAGACCTGCCCAACGCCACAAACACCAGCCCTGAGGACAACGTGTGACACCGGCCCCCCACAGACGAGACCCCACAGGTTCCCCACACTGGGCCGTGCAAGGCTCTGCCAAGGTCACCGAAGAGGGGCAGAGGGAGGAGGGATTTAAAGCTGGGCCTGGGACACGAAATCCCGGGCTGTTTCTCCCCTGCCTTGCTGCCTCCCCAGCACCTGAACACGTGAATCTATCAACAGTTACTCATTAATACCCAGTAGGATTCCCTCTCCCTCTCTCCCTCACCCGCCACTGCCACCGGGTCCCTCTGCATCCCCCCGCCCCCTCCAGAGCCACCTCCGGTAAAGGAGGAGAGGACAGGAAGGACACGGCCCTCCAAACCCCTGCTGTCCCCTTGCTGGGCCCCAGGATCCCGTCTCCTCACTGGGAGGATGACAACAGAGGTGGTAACGTGGGTGGCTTGTGCCCCAGGGACCTCTTCTCGCCGTGACCTGTGCTCAGGGCATTGCACAGACAGAGGCTAGTTGACTGTAAACTGCTTGGGAAATGGCTACAAACCAGTCCAGACTGCCCCAGCACCGAACGCCCTGACAGCCCACGGCTGGCCCATGGAGGGGGCAGGGCTGGGGAGAGCCGGGCCCAGGCCCCCAGGAGCTTCCTCCCTCCTCTCGGAACCCCTGAACCCAGCCACCCAGGTGGGAGGTAGGAGGGGGCTGCAGGTCGTGGGCTGCCCGGGGTCTGGAGCCCTACATCCCTACACATCAGGACCCACGGGGCGGGCCCTTCAATGCACCCCCTCTCCCACCCCTCTTCCTGACACACACTTCGTACAAATGAGGAAACAGGCTCAGAGAGGGAAGGCACTTGACCAAAGTCTTCCGGGCAGTTAGAGACAGAACCCAAGTTCTCTCCTTGTCTCCCTGGGTCTGTCTTACCCGCTGTGTGACCTTGGAAAAGTCGCTCATCCTCTCTGGGCCCTGAAGGATTACAAGCCCTGACATGGTCCAGGCACTGTTGGGAGGACTGGTAACAGTGAGACTGGAAGCCCTTCTCCTAAATACAACACCCTACCGTTTATAAAACATATCTTCTCTGATCTTCATAGTAACTCTGGGAGGCTGGGAGAAATAGGAGCTTGGGGCCCATTTTACAGATGAAAGAAACCAAGGTTCAGAAAGACAAAGGTCACACAGAGTTTGAGACAGAGCTGGAACTAGAACTCAGGCTCCCAAACCAGTGCTCTTCTCATGACTAAGTCACTCAGAAGGCTAGGAATACATTAAACGGAAGAAGAGAGCGCTGCCCCACCCATGCGGGCAAGGTTACGGCGGACCCTCCCCCGAACTCTCTCGGCAGCTCTGGGACACAGGGAAAGCCCTCCGAGGGAGAGGCTTGTATTTTAAGTCACATGCAGCTGAGCTGCGACCCCAACTCTGACACTTAGGAGCTGTGGGACCTCACCTTTCTGAGCCTGGTGTTTCTCCACTGTGAA